TTGTCGGCAATTTCCAATTGTATCCACATATGTCGGTCGCTTCTTCAACGACGTTTATCCTACTTTCTACTAAGCCAATAAAATCGAATGTTCTAACTTTCGTTCTCGTAATAAATATCTCTGTAAAAATTTCCCCTAATATTAGGATCCATGAAAATGCATTAGGACGACATATTTGTTAAAGCTGAAAATGGCACAATACCACAATAATGTTATAACATTAATAATATAACATATTTACAGAATCTTTGTTTTCAAACTTTCTTTCAATTTCGAAACAAATGTAATTGCTTGTCCTAAAGTTTCTGAACAGTGTAAGCAAGTAAATCAGGACGCAAGCGACTCGATGCTGAGTGGCGAGTTTGCCCAACCTAGCCATAATATTGTCAGTAGATGGTATAGCAGTAACTCGAATTACCCGTGCATCCGTTCGACGGATCATGCTAAAATCGAGAACCGATAACTTTGGGTGCCTTTACTGTATACGTTTAAGAGAAGTCGCGTGTCAGTTGCTTGAGCCGTTAATGGCCAAGCACAATGGAACAAAAAATAATTATTGCGCGTGTCGTTCGCAGGGGAACGTGGTATTTCTCTTGCTATTTTCTGGACTGCGAATTTTTATGCAATTATGAGAAACTCAATTCTTAGAGGTTACTATAGATGATGGCGCATTGTTTTCATATTGAAGATATTATATAATAAAGTGAAAATCACGATTTGCAGTTGTTGCGATTATCAGAGTGGGTAAACAATGTAAAATACTGCTGTTCATAAAAAGACGTAATCTCTAACAGTTCATTCGCAGTCTAGGAATCACAATCGTCGAAACATAGAATTCGCTGATATACATTGACTGAAAAATATTGCAACACTCACTCTTAACTATTTCGAGGCTGGTTGATGACGTGCCGTGTGCGTCATGCGACAAACCGAATTAAGTTGGAGAGAAAGAGAGAAGAAATTGTCGTCTCAATAGTTTTCTAGTTACGTGCCGGTCTCGAAAGCGTTAATGGGTGGCGAGTTCTTTGATTAATAATGTTAAGTGCATGTATAGTTACTCACAAAAGTATTCGAACACTTTATATATGTGTGTGTGTGTGTGTGTGTGTGTGTGTGTAGAACGTTGTAGATACTTCATTAATGTCGTAACGATTGTGTTGATCTAAATTTGAAACAAATCTAAAAATGTATATAGAAATTGCGAGATGTTTAGTGCAAATCTATATTTCTCAGATTGAGAGAAGTGTGGAAGCCAGTTATCCATTATATGGATAAATTTCAATATTCAATTATTTTGGAATTATTTTGGAACCAGATGGGTAATTCATACTGTGCATCAATTTTTTTACTCGATAAGATTAATTTCCTGAATTGGAATAATCATTGCAATTGCTATAACGATTATAGCATCTTTGAGAATTCTCTTCTTTTCTCCAAAATTCTATTTGCAAATAAATTTATGAAGATAAGATATCTTTTATATCTGAATAACTGCATGGAAAATGAAGTTGATTCGTCTTCTGAGAGACTCGATATATGAAATATCTCGTAACTTATACGTATGCCTTCAGATTCCATCGATCATACAGTCGCGATGATTTTTTACGTGCAAGTGTCGTGAACGTAATTTAATTCTACAAGTGTTCGAATATTTCCGCGAGCCATTGTAAATATACGTAGATGTATATCGCGGTATACGCAGCGTAGAATCTCGCGTGTACGAGTTATTTCTGCGCGTACGGTGGACCGTATGCGACTGATCGCTAGCTCATAGTGCCTACATACTTCGTAATTTTTCAACAGCTCGTTACGCCGAAAGAAAAGTGTAGCATGGCTAGGAGAGAACGAATCGACGAACGCGAGAACTCGAGTCGAAGAGATCTCTCTTGGTCTTGAAGTTGAAGAGTGCCTTAGTCGTACGGACGATTTCAATCAACCGCGCGCCCGGCGATCGATCGAAATTGAGAGCCTAGACTAGCTTTAGGCGTCTACAATTCTTCTCCGTTGGATCGGTGTCCGTCTCCCGATGGAGATCGTGTCCCAACGGCCTGCCCTTGCCTCATTGTCGGTGTCGTTACAAATTTGACGAAGAACCTTGACCTGTTAGTAACCGAGTTACTCTCACAATGAGAATGGGAAATTTTGAGGAACGTGATAAGATAATGTGACAAGATTCTCGCAAATATTTTTAACATATTTATTAAATGGTACTTGAATCGTAGGTTGTACATTATAGGTCATGACTTTGGATTTGGAGTGAAATTTCTTATTTCGGGAATCGATGTTAAAACACGCTGCAATAGGAATAAAGTAAAAAAAATTTTGGAATTTCTGTACAGAGGGATTATCGTTTCAAAACTAATAAAACTTCATTTATTAATTTCCACTATTCGTGCACATAATTAGAACTAATACTCGAATAAGTGATTAAAATTTTCTTCCAATTTCGTATTATCGGTTAACAGGTTATCGTTCTATCGAAATGTCTTCCTTTCTCCGTCTGTTTTCTATATCTACAGTCTATCATTGTCTCGACTCAAAGAAAAACTTTAATCATTGATATGAAATCAATCGGCCAATCTTTCGAACACAGCCAGGGCAAGTTCTCGTTACGAGAAGTGAAACGATCGACAGCTCATCGAGGGATCATCACGGTCTTTTCAATTCTACGCAGGTTGGCGATTACGAGACACGCGAATGTAACATGCAACATGTGTTCTAAAACACGTGTAAAGGCCGAAGTCTAAGGGCGAACGCCGTGAAGAAAATCTCGTGGAGCGTCTATACTTTCAATGGGTCAAAGTGAACGTTCCGTAAATGCTAGTCACACACACAGCACACACACACAGTTGCTCGTCCTTCTGATACGAATTCGTTCGTATATCAACCGATCGCGTCGAATCGCAGCGAAATGAAATTCGAACGAACGAACACGTGCCTTCACAGAGGAATTAACAGGGAGAATATTCGAGCACGCACGATCGAAATGACGAGAACGATCGACCGATGACGCGAGAACAGCAAAGCAGAAGTGCCTGGATTTTTTTGTTAGATTCGCGATCGATCGAATCGAATGAGTTTCGCGTCATTGCTCGAAGTGGATCATTCGAGTTCCTCGTGGATCGAGGAATCGAAGTTTTCTCTCCGACTCTATCGAACGTTTGTTGTTGCCAGACTGCGGATTTTTCTGCAACTTGTTTTGAAAGCTTTGCTCTCTCTATTGTATTGATTTGTGATTTACATAAATGTGGAAATTATAATTCAGGAAATTAAAATAAAATGTGAACAGTGTTCTGGAGATAGTTGTTTCGATTTACGAAGACAAACGTGTTG